CTGCTTGCTCGAGTGGGCAGCCATGTTGTAAATTTCTCTTAGCCTTTCGTTTGAAGTGAGGTCCCGAAAAATCTTCGTTTCGAGGGCTATCTAGCCCTTCCCCTTTCCCCTACCCCTCCAATCAAAAGAGAATTGAGACACCCCTACCCCTACACGTGAACGCGCCAAACGGAGGGGTAGGGGAAAGTGTAGGGGTAAGGGGTAGAATTGGGATTGGGCCTTACACTAAATTCCCCTCCAATATGGAACTTCTATATATCTGCAATACAGTTTGAGAATTAAAACATTTTAAAGGTTACCCTTAAGCTGTATCTTTTAAGCTTTCATATGTACACTGTCAACTAATGTAATTGAAATTACAATCATTACTTTACTTATTGGGGAAGCTGGTAAAAACTCATATGTATGCACACTGTGAATGTAAAAGCTTAGGTCATAAAAATTACTAACTGTAATGATGCAGGATTCACCATAACAACAACTAAGTGAACTTTTCCCACAGAGTAGAGCGGGTCCTCTACACTATAATGACGGAATTAAATAATAACTGTATAATGATGCCATATACTGTCTCTAAAGTCTAGCGGTTATTTTTCATGTATTTGTATTCTTATTGCTTTATTGTTTAATTTTCAGTCAAAGTGCTCTACCCTACTGCACCTTTGTCCTGAACCTCTGAATTACCAGAAACAATAAGCACCTTTTTAAAAGTATTTTCTAAAAATAAGGGACAGATTTGATTTGGTGAGAGCAGGCCCTTGGGTACTATGTTTTATATATTTGTGAATATCATTAATGACCAAAAAAGGGCAAAAATCCTCTAATGGTGAGTTCTACATCAAATCCAATTGCACATTTGAATGAAGTTGCCTGATTGGTAACGGGTGGTAACGGCATAGAAAACTGCTTAAAATTGTTAGATCAAGACAAAACAATCAAGTGCTTTAAAAAAATTATCTGTAAAGTTAATATCTGTTCCATAAAGTAAAACCTATTTATTTGAAATACCTCTTTCATAATTTTCTATATTTCTGGATTTTGAAAAAAAGACTGAAATCCCAGTTTGCATCTACTGCTTGTAGAGGGTCGTTACTCAACGAAGGTGCGGCCAATTTGCATGACATGCACCTGCTTTTTATTCTTATTTTTTCATACATTTCATTCTTTTTGAAATCAAATGCAGAAAATCTTCCAGGTGGTACAACTTGAAGAAAGTGAGGCACACTGCATTTATATACAGTATATCTTTGGAAGCTTGAAATCAGTTAGATGGCCCTCATTCCTGTCGGTTAGGTGACACACATGAGACTGTCACCCTGGGAATAAATATTAATTCCCCACAATATTGACAATTGGTTCCTATTAAATTTCACTTTCCTGATTTTCTCTCAACTTTTTAAACTGGCACTTCTGTGGAAAAGTGGGACTTTGAAAACTTTTTTTTTTCAGGTTTGCATTTTCAAACTTCAAGAATGGCAGAACCCACTGAAAGGCCTGGTGCCAAATATCCCTCCTCATATGCTCTCTCTCTCTTTCTCTTTCTTGCTCACACATACACACATAATTATATTATTATTGTCGTTGTTGTTTTTATTTTATCAAGGTCTTTCAAAAACTATGCCATTACCCTGGCTTGGATTGATGATGAGTCGCATTTAAGAATGTTCTTCTTGAAAAACTGAATTTTCTTCTCTCCTTCCTTTGGTCTTCAATGTAGATGCTGAATTCAGCTAAAGGTAGTGGGAATGCTCACAGCCATTCATCAAGAACCAGAGCAGACTCCAGATTCCCTGCACTCTGAATCTACAGGAGTGATCGTTCTGGAGGGAGGTGTTGTGTCTGCTGTTCTGCCAAACCTGCCAAAAGCTCAGTGTATTTTATCTGGTTTGATTTATGAATTGAATATAAACTATAAGGCAATGAACACGACATCTGAATTTATTTCAGAGAGTGATTCTTTCAAGGAGATATGCATCTGAATCCCAAACTGCAAACATGGAAAAACCTGCTTCTGAGTTGGAGTGTCTACAGCAAAGGGCTGAATATGACAGTCTGCTACCTTCTGTCAAAGCATACTAGATTATGCATACAAGTTGTTTAAAAATTACTTTCGGAGTGCTGTTGGGCATTAGGAATTAAGATTTGGGGTAATACGTTTTTGCTGCAGTCGACATACAGTACAGTACTGTTGTGTGGCAGAGACAGGTGGTGGAATATATGGAGACAGAGGATGGTGTGCAGGGAAGATTTTATGGCTCTGATCACAGACTGAGCCTGAGCCTCTCATGCACTTGACACACAGTCAGTCTTGCTCACTGCAGGACCATTTTCACGTGAGTTATGGCACCACACAGGATGATAGGATGATGGGTCTGAAGCTGCTCTGCATGCTTGCCCTATTCTGTGGTAAGCAGGGCCACCTTCTCCGAAAACACATACACTCACTGCACACAACGATTCCCTCCTCCAAACTCAGTCCAGTCATTGAGGGCATGCAGGGAGGTAGCTCACCCAATGTAGTCTCATTGTCCCACTAATGTTCCCTGTGGTCAGGGGTGTTTCGTCGCCACCCCCTTGCCGTCAATGGCATGTCCCAGAAACATTAGTCACTGCTGGAGTAAATGCTACTTGGAAGAGTGCAGCTCCAGGCCAGCCTGCAGTGTTGCTTTGAACCTCCCACAGATTGTCTGGGGCCTGGTCAAATCCCAACACATTTACCAGAAAATCATCCAGGTAGATGATACACTACGTCTGGGGGATTCCTGCCAGCGTCCATTCTATGAGGTGCTCAATAGTGCCTGGGGCACTGCATAACCCAAATGGCATCGCAGTGAAGTGTCACTGCCCAGGGTGAACATTGTCTTCTTTGAGTCTGCTGCCAGGGCCAACTGCCAGTACCTGCTGCGGAGGTCCAGTGAACTAAACCTGCTGGAACAAGTCAGGGCATGAGGACATCGTCATTCCAAAGCAAGGGATATGAGTCTGCTTAGGTGATGGCATTCAGGCAGTGGTAGAACTGCCAGCTAACATTCTTTGTACATACCAGGACAGAAGGGGCAGGTGATGGCTGTATGATTCCTGCTCTATGATACTTAGACTTGTAACTAAGCTACTTGCATCTGGTAGGTGATAAGGGTACAAGCAATTGAACTGGTATCTATTTCATGCTGGACAATGTTAGTCAGGGTGCAGCCCACTAGAACCAACAAGCACCTCCATCCCAACATTTGGACCCCTGTCATAGACCTGAGGTAGACCTCAGTTGGAGCCAAAGGGCCCTACAGTGTGGATTATGCAGATCCCTGAGGCGGCCCAATGGGTAGGTCTCAGGTAGCTCAGGGGATTTGGGATGGTTAGGTGGCTATCCCTTCACTGAGGTGCCTTACTGTCAGTTACCAGAAGCTCTGGGAAACGTTCTCAACAGTCCTGAGCCTTGTGCCTTTTCGAACCACCAGTTTCCAGCCGTCACCAACAGATAGCCACCCAATATTCCTCCTGTCCTTGAACATCAGTAACTCTGTTAATCTCAAGTGCAGGGTATGAGGAGCATTTCCAAACTAGCCCCTTCTACCAGGACCAGGGTGGAAGATGCCATGAAGTGGAGATGGTACTGTAGAGTCACTGGGACCTTCTGATTACCCTGCACCCACTCACACTTACGGTAGGACCGTATGCACATTGGCAGTCAGATGCATAGGATTATGGGAAAGGGGCTTATGTGTCTAAAATGTTGGAAAAGTTTTTAAAACAGCCTTGAAGACTTGAGCTCAAGGTTGTCAGACCTTGTGATTGCTTAAGGTTTAGTCTATCCACTTAGAGCTCTTTGTAGAAATATATTTGAATGTTCACTTTACTTGAAGAAAAGTTTGCAATTAGCCATAGCTTTAATATGCAGATTAAATACACGTTGAGATAAATAGCATTTTCACAATTCATATTACTTAGTATAACTAAGCCATTTAAATTGAAGTAATGCTGTAATTCTACTCTGAAGTCCTCAGGAAGATAACTGAAGGTTGAAGAGTAGTTAAATTAAGTCAAAAAGTCAGTAACTCATTTGACCTGAAATCTATTTCATACCTTGTTTTAGAAAAAAATGCGCACTTAACTTTTAGTTGATTAGATAATTCTCTAATTTAGATTAGAATTTTGGTGGATAAAAGTTCTTATTTCTGGAAAAAAAATACACGTACAACAATAAGAAATGAAAATGGTATCTTATGAGGAAAAAGACACTACCATGATATTTGTGAAAGGCGCACAGTTTTTCATTGAACAAATAGATTGCTTCAGCTGTCGGGATTGGTCCCTGCCTCATCCTGTTCTGTCTGTTGTTTCCCTGTTTGGCCAGCAGGTGTCACTGGACATCCCATTCTTTTCTGTTTGCCTACTGTAGCTTTAGCACCTCTTTCAGTCCATGTTGTTTTCTTCTGCTCCCCTGGCCATTGTGTGGCTGAATGAGCTAAGCGTGTGGATGAAAACCCCGCATCCCTAACTGTCTTCGTCAACAATGTTTGCTATTTTATCTATACTCCATGTTGATTATGTTTATATACTCTGTATTGGTCCTTGCATTTAGTGTCTTTGTTACTGGATTCCTCTGCCTGTGTCCAGGTATGAACTTATGTCCTGATATTCTTGTTCCTAGCATCTCCCAGTATTTGATATATACCTCCTAAACCTTAGCGTTTTGTTACTTGGTAATAGTCCACACCTGTCCCTTGTTTAGACCTCGTTCTTTGTGTGTATATGTCAGTATCGGTCCATCATTGAAATGTGTTTCTTGTACAGTATGTGTTCCCCGCTAGTGCTTCTGTTGGATGTTTCCTTGATAAGTACCCTATTTTGAGTGATTTTCCTTGTATTTAGTTTGGATTTCCTAAGTGCTTGCTTTGTCTACCTGCCTTTATTTAGACCCATTGTGGTCCCTTTTGTTTCCTGTTTTCTTTTGAGTTTATTACAAACTGAACATGACGCAAAGTGGACTGTTGTCCCCTTAATGACATTCCCCTTAATGACATTAGCAAAAGGAGTACACTGTGAGCTACTGTATAGTATATTTATATTTTTAAAACTATTGGTGGTAATAACTCTGTATTAATTTATGCATTTTAGTCCTCCATCACCCTTCCTAAGTGTGTGTGTGTGAGGAAGAGAGAGAGAGATAACACACATTATCCATTTGATTGTTGAAGAGAACAGATGGTGACAATTCAGAAATAGAAAACTAGAAACAGAATGAATTAGCTAGCAGGTTAACCTAGAAAGTAGAAAATACAGACAGTAATGGTGTGTGATGTGAAGCATTCACAAGCTTCATTACACTTATTTGTCGGCTTACAGCCACTTAGGTTCTTTAGGTCTGTAGTTTATCTTATTTGACAAGCATAACAATCTTATGACATCACAATGCATTAACGGGCTGAATTATGAAAGATGTGATGTTAGATAAAAAGTCAGATTGAGGGGCAGGGCACAAGGGTAAGTTTGTGATCTGGTGTGCTTTAGTCGTAACTCATTCCCCTAGAAATATACCTCAATGGTTCACATAGGATGAAAATCACAGACTGTACAGTGAGTACATGTCATGGTGTCTGACTTACCCACTTTGGAGCATTTTGTGTTCTGTAGCGTGAATCCTATGAAAAATTGCATGTTGCGTAAATGGTGCTTTAGTATTGAAGTCTAAGAAACTACTTTGCAAAATCTGTTGTCAATATGATGTTTAACCCAGAAACACACAATTTTTACTGCTGTGATGTGATGTGTCTGGTAATTTCATTTTTGTCTCAAGAGTTTTCAGTGGATGCTTTTGTTGGGATGGGCAAAGACTTTGCGAATGCTTTTATTTGGGAGGAATGCAGACGCTCCCCACCAAAAAAATAATAGATTTTTTTTTCGTAATTTCATTTTAAAAACCGTAGCATGGAAAAGGCAGGGAACAACAGAGTAAAATAGAAAAATATAAAGCTGCAAAGAGATATCAACAAATCAAATCACAGTTAAAAGCTTTTTGCCCTCAAATAAGTCAGAAAAAGGCGTATAAGTGTTTTGCACAAAATTGTTGTGCTGAGCTGGGATTCTGGCCAGTTCTTGGTTGGGTGATATTTAGCGCATTGGCTTGTGGCAACACTGCACAAGTCAAAGTCGTCTTTGAGGCTCAAAGCTCACACTCGACTGAGGTTTGCTTTCAGGCACAGTAACCCAGTGATGTGGGCAGACGAAATAAACTGGGTTATTATGGATATGCAAGCATGTAAATCGGTGTCACACATAAATGCATGCATTTGTTTTTCTTGCATGTATAAAAATAGGATCATAAAACTAGGATAGAGCCTGTTATAAACATTTTATGAACAACTGTTGCTTAACTTTATTTAACTTGTTAAATATAATAAAAGAAAACATTTAGATTATCCCTCACTTTATAGAATACATTACATGGTGGTGCTGGAGATAATAACAATTTATAGACGTAGAAGTAATATGGTGTTTAGATTGACTTAATTAATAAGCGTATCTGGTTTTGTCTTTATCATCTTTCCCTGCAGCTGTCTGGAGCAGATGAACATCAGGTTTCCCTCTTGTGGCAGGGCAGACCCATTACATCTGACGCAGATCGCTGTTGTAATCATGATAGCAGATTGCCAACATGCCAGTATACAAATATTTCAGTGACTGATGAAATTCTTTTGCAGAGTTAGCTTAAGTAAAATAGTTAAGTAAAATAACGATATAACAGCATTTATTAGCTGCACATAAAGACATATGAAAAGTGGCATTAAGGAGGCACCACATTAATCATTTTTCCCTACACATAAGAATGTTATGTCGCTGTAAAATGTAGTGTATGCA